CAATTTAAAATCATATCCTTAATAACCAAAAAACAATTCTTACAGCAATTAACTATATGTAAAATCTTATAACAATTAAAATTTTATAGAGTTAAATCATAAAACAATACATTGATGTGAATAATCGCATAAGAACCTATAAAATATTTTACAATAGTTTTATTAAATATTATATATAAATCTATGATTGATAAATGTCACTGATGTCATCGATTTATTTTTCATAGAGATCTATAATCATCAAATCTTACATTTTTGGATCTTAATAGTAAATATAATATTATTATTTTATAACATGTATAAATTTTCATTTTATATAGTTTCCTTCTTTAACATTGAAAAGTATAGATAGAAGATTTATATTTTCTTTGTAATATTTTATAACTATGTTTAGAAAGTAAATATGTTTATAGATTTTTTTTTCTTTGGTATGTTTGTACATATAAACTTTAATATTAAGATTTCCATATTCTTTCTAATTTATTTTTTCAATTTATAAAATTTCTTTTGTTTTGTCATTCATAATGTTTTCTTAATTAAAATTTCAGTTTCCTCTTTACTTTTTTTTTGTTTATAGTCTCTCTATTTTCATTCATAATTTTAGTTTTATAATTTGTTTTAACTATTAGAATTTTTTTACTGGATTATTAGAAATTTTCTTTTTTACTATTTGGTTAGTTGCTTGACAATTATTTTGTTCGTTTTCTATTTTCAATTTTCCATTTTTTTTAATTAGTTTCAAGTTTTAACACATGTCATAATCTGATCAATATTGGACACATATGACAATCTGGTAAGTTATAATTTTGCTTATGTGTCAAACCCTCGCTGATAATTTTTTTCTTAATTGATTTTTTTTCTCTCTACTTTTTTTATGGTTTACAATCTATATATTTAGTTTAAACTATTATTTTTTTGTAATCTAGCTAGTATAGACTAATTAGAAATTTTCCTTTTTTCATAATTAGTATGAATAATTAGAATTTTTTTTGTTTTTTTACTATTTAGTTAGTTACTTTAAAATTATTTTTTTCGTTTTTCATTTTTATTTTATATATTTCTAATTAGTTTAGCACATTGCGCATCATCTGATCAACAATAGACACATGTCACGATCTGGTAAATTAGAATTTTGTCTATGTGTCGCGTTCTCATCTTGCGCATCCTCTTTTATATAATAAGATATTAGCCTAAATGATTTTAAAAATAATATACTTTGTTTTTCTTACAGCTTGGATGAGTATATATCGTCTTTCTTTTTTCTATATAACTAGTGTTTTTACATAACTTTTTTGAATTGAAATGGAACATATCCTTCGATGAAATTGGCATAGAAAATAAACAAGCGAAAAAATAGAGCTGGCATATGAAATAACGCGATGTTATTACAAAAATCCAACGACAAAACCCAAAAATAAGTATACAACAAAAAAATCATACAATAAAGGGATCGACATTCGTGAGAATTGATAGACCACTCTTTCCCTCTCTCTATCACACAAATAATTAAGGCTTTCTGAATATATGGTTAATATCGAATATAACACATAATATTGTAATAATTATAAAGTTTGGTACATCTCGTTTATCGTGATAAGAAACAAAAAAGTTATTAACTATAAGTGGTCGTGACTCATGCACGATGATAATACATTGATTCATACCTAATAAGCTTTTCTAGTAACCCATATCCCAAAGTGCTGAATATTCTTTCTGAAAAAAGTAAATGTATATAGTTTTTAATACCTTGAAGTTCTATATGAATTTTTTTTTTTTTGTCAAACAGTTCTATATGAATTATGGTATGCTGTTTTAATAAGAATGAATCTCTTCACCAAGCAAGAATGAATTATGGTGTGTTACACATCCTACAAAGTTAAAACAACATTGTTTTAATCGATCGTTGTAGGATGTAACACACCATATTTCATTTTTAATCGGTTAAGTTACGAACACACATCAAAGTTTAAAAAAAAAAAAAAAGTTTTGAACACTTAATTGAATGCATATCATCTTGTATATATACTTTTTTTTTATTAGCGTGGAGAT